AGAATGCAGTGGTGGTATAGCAATCCAGTTTTCACAGAAAATTTGATGACTAGCCTTCATACTTTGTTGCATTCTAGTACTTGCAAGGAAATGCATTTCTTCCTCTCAAGTAGTGTGGCCAAGACTTCTAAAACAGGATAAACACCGGTTTCTAATTTTGGAAATGCTAATAAAATAGATAAAAATCAGAAACACCCCTTTTGAAATCCAGAATGATTTATGTTTCATTTAGGGGGCAAAGGCCCCTACAGTTATTATTGAGCTAGTTGGAGAGACTGTTCCCTATATTGCTTGCCAATATAGTAAGCATTAAAATGCTTGCTTTGATCTTTTCCTCTTCTTTGTTTTTGCCTTTTCTTTTTGAACAGGATAAGGAAAAATAACACATTGCTCAATATTGAACATTACTAATGTCATTGTCTGAGGCTTTGATTGTGTGAACCTCGGCATGTATTTTATTGTACATGTTGTAGTCAGTAGTTGATGGACAACCATTAAAACTACTTTGCTGTCTTCACCCAGAGTGGTTTGGTCTTTTGAGTGGTCACAGTACTGCAATTGGCATATTAGAGAATGGGACTACCCTTCTCTTCTCTACTCCATTTCCTAAGTATTACATTAAGTGGTGGTATCAAATTCAATTTGAAATTGTGGTATAGCCTATAATGTTAAATTCTCTGGAAAATCTGTAAACTGCAGACTCTTTTAAGGTTTTTAATTATCAGAAATAATATTAATTTCACTTTTTGGGGTTTCATGTTTCCAGGGAACCAACCAGTGATTACTCAAGGTTGTTGGAAAGCAGCCCTGTATATTTTGAACTGCAAGCAGACCATGTCTATCAGTCCTAATATCCATCCTGAGGGAACTTCCTTATTTTTTCCTTTATTATTCTTCTGTTGATTATAGTGAATACTAAAATAGGAACCTTGCCTATGAAAGCATATGCTCTGTCACCCTACTCTCAAAAAGGTTAGAGATGGAATACAGTGGTGAGGATACTTGTACTCTGAATGTAGCATTTTGCTTAGATTATATTTCTCTTGTGAAATTTCTTCTGTTCTCCACTGTGGCTCAATTTTCTTACAATTACTATAGCTTTGAAAAAATGAAAGAAGCTTGGGTTAATAGAATCCTAGTATTTTATTGAGGAATAAATTGAGGACCTAGTATTCCATTCCCTTTGGGAACAGCTATTACTATATCCATATCCAGCTATTACTGTTTCCATTTTGTGTAGCTGTATCTTTCTGTCATGCTTATTATCTGATTGTAGTTTAATGCATTGTAAGAAACAGTCAGGTTACTTTAGCTTTGTGGATAACTCTGTTCTCCTTCATGCCTCTTAGCTTTGAACCTTCCAGATGTGTTTGGTTTGGTGGTCCTTCCACTGGAGCTGAAACTCCGAATTTTCCGTCTCTTGGATTTCCGTTCACTCCTCTCTTTGTCCGCTGTTTGCCATGACCTCTATTCAGCTTCAAATGACCAGCTACTATGGAGATTCATATATCTGCGAGATTTTAGAGGTGATCATTTATATACCTTTTCTTTGAGTTGCTTAAGTGAAAAGAGGTTTGATCTTGCTCACAGCTGCCGTAAACACTCTGGCAGGCTATAACCCCTTAAGGGACCAATCAAAACCAGTAAACACAAAGGGACAATTATCTGATAGTTCTTTTGGGGAAGGCTTTTGGCCTTGCCTACATTAGAAGGCACATTTTATTTTGAAGTTATGTTATCACAGACCACCTGCATTTCTTTTTCTTTTCTGGCATTACAGAAATACAATTTTAGATTAATATACCAAACTGAATTTTGCTGCTTCTTTGCAGATCCTGTTGCCAGGTCTCGTGACACAGACTGGAAAGAGGTAAGTATTTATCTTAATTTTTTTCTAATAGCATTTTTTGTTGAAAAGAAAAAGATGGCAGTATAAAACAGGCATGTGCAAACTAAATTCTAAGCTAATGGAAGCTCCAGTGATGCAGCCTTTTCCCCTGTTAGTGCTGTGCTTAAAGAATGATTAAGCATTATTCTCAATGCCAATCTTTACAACATTTCTAGAACAGCTTCATACTGACTGGTTTGGAATTCTAGGTGTCTCATAATAAAGGTTAAATTAAATAAAGTACTGGGGACAAAGGAGGGCAGCCTATTTATACCTTTTCTTATAAATTATGAAATTATTCAAATAACTGAGCCCCTCTTCGGAGGTTAAAGTGAAAAGAGGTTTCGTTGTCCTGAGTCCCTCTTCGGAGGTTGAGAAGGACGGGATATATATGTTCCAAACAAACAAACAAACAAACAAACAAACAAACAAACTGCTTTTGAAATCACTATGTGACAGTTTAGCAGTTCTAGATCCATTAGACATACATCACCATAGAACAGAGGTTCTAGAAAGGGGTTTTTTTTGTGTGGAACATCGAACCCTTCCAGGATTTAAGCGTTCTCATTTTTCTTGCAGCTGTACAAGAAAAAAATGAAGCAGAAGAGAGATGCCCTGAGGTGGAGGCACATGATGTTTCTACCCCCTCCTCCCCTTCCCATCCCTCTTCATCCCAACCCACTGTATCCCAATCCTTTCCCTCCTAATCCTCTCTACCCACCAATGATTATTGGTGGTGAAATGGATGAAAGGCCTGCACCTCCTTATATTGGGGACCCAATCCACTCCCTCTTTCCTGCCTCTACAGAGTTTCTTCCAGGTGAGTATCCTCTTGGGTCACACTTGGATCCATTTGGCTCATTTCAAAATCCCAATCCCACACTCCCAGGAAGATCCAGTCGGGGCCGTCCGATTGATAGTCGCCGTGCATTCATATGATGGTTCCTTTAGTGTTTTCATTTCCCCGTTCCTGGGCTTGCCTTGAAACTGTATGTCAGTTATAGGTCTTGGATGACTGTTTTAACAATGGCCGTGTGTATGTACTATGTATTCTGATGCCAAGGACTTGGGCCCAAAAACTCAGTACTGACAACTAATTCCCTCTCACTGGAGATTCTTTCTGAAAGATCTGTATGGGATGCTATTCTTTCCACTTCCGTCTGCAAATTGCTTCTTAGAAAGCATTAGATGGTTGGCCTTAGCTGCATCAAATAAAGAGCACTTTAAACACAAACATTTGTGTTTGTCTGGATTGCCTTATTCTTTAAACATACTTATAAAATGTCTGTCATGATGTCCTCTCCCTCTCAATAATATTACCCTTGTTAAATGTCGCTTTCATAGGAGAGCTTGGTGTCTTTTTAAGCAATGCCTGATATATAGGAAGCCTGGAAAGTTATTTGATATGACTCTTTTTAAACATTTTCTGAAACAAGAAGTTTTTTCCTCATTTTATTACTTGAAAAGCAATTTTGGTTTGGGGACTTCAGTGCACAAAGAACACAGATTTAAAATATTTTTGTTACACTTGAAAGAATAAAACACTGGACAGTCCATCCTACAAACAGTTGAATAAGAACATGCTACAAAACAACCCAGATCCTGATCAAAATCATGAGTGAGAATGCCAAAAGGTCTAACAATAGTATGTTGCCTTCTAATCCTTGCTAATTTTCTTGCAGGTATCAGGAGAAAACTAAGTACATTACAAAATAAAACCACACCCACTGTACGATCAAATAACATGAGAACTGTGTAGCTATAATGGATATGAGTGAATTCACATCTTTGTTCTTGCCAGCTATGCTTGTGTTCTGTTACATCAGGATAAATAAAGATTCCTAGCTGCCATGTCTTCTGAAGTATGATGGATAACTATGCCTGTACAATACTCAGGAAGTAATAGGCAAAACTCAATATTTATACAGTCAACGTGATGGCTAGAACAAGACTCAATAGAAAATATTTCCTTAATAAAGGATCAATACAAATATAGCTTTCAAAGATGTATGGTCAGAACAAAGGTTGTAGATATCTTCAGTTTTGTTTTATTATCTGGTGAAGAGTGATTTACAGTCCAGTATTTTCAGCCCAACTGAAAGTTTTAAACATGCAATTTGATCCAGTTACTTTAATTTCAATGAGTAATTTTAGCATCTTTTTCTAATAACTGGGGTTTGATTGGGTTCTAAGTGACGGCCATACATGATACTGTGCTATATAAAGATAATGGAGGAAAATAATGAATGCAGCTCTGCTCTTCAAACTAAACTTCTGAGGTGCACATATCAAAATGTCCACCTGCTGTTGAGTGCGTGAGTTATACTGAAGCACTTGGTAATATTTATATGTATTATTGCTTGTTTGATTCTTTACTAGACCTGCTCATGCAGTTAGCAGACTGGTTGTTTTTAGATGGCACAAATACTAAAGGTGCAGCATGAAAGTTTACAAAGTATGTATTATCTTTCTGAAGTGGTCCTTAACATTTAGTTCTACCACAGCTTTGAGGTGCAGCAGTGCTACTGCATTATCACATTTATGAACACAAACTTATATGTTAATGCTAGGGCCCTTCCACACACCCATATAACCCAGAATATCAAGGCAGGTAATTCACAATATCTGCTTCAAACTGGGTTATCTGAGTCCACATTACCATACATTCCAGTTCAATATGGATTTTGTACATCTGTGTGGAAAGGGCCTTAGATTATATGCTAAATAAATTGTGAGAGTTGAATAATCTCTAAAGCAATACTAAACATAGTTTTGAGTAGATGAATATCATTTTGATATAATACTAGAGTAGTGGTCCCATCTCATTGATTTTTGTAGGAGACTTGTAGGAAATATGTACTGGCATATTTCAGCCAGGCTCCCATATGGGCATTGGGGTTTCTCCTCTTCAACAATCTATTATACTGGTGTAGTCAACCTTTTTGACTGGCAAAAAAGACAATTAATGAGGGAATGTATTTGCTTGTAAAAATAGTACTCCCATACTCCCATGCAAAAGGCTATGTCATTATTTTATCCCTGTTAGATAGGACTGACTTGCTTGAGCATGGATTTGAACATTGATCTCAATGTTTCTAATCACTGTGCTACATTTTGGTGTGCTTGTTCCGTAGAAAGCCCATACTAGCAATATGTAGAGAGCTAGTTTGTTCTGATTCCAGGCTGTATTAATATAACTATTTGAATTATAATTCCAGCAGCTGAGTCAAGGATGTAGAACTGTTAAGAGTTGTATTGCTGTCCTACATGATATCTGTAAAACTAGAGTAAAAACAAATGGCTTAGTTAAAAAGTCTTTCTAAGAAGCTAAAATTCATGGCTTTAGCTTTGTTTACACATTGCCTGATGTAACAGCATTGGGTGTCGTACATTGCAGGGTGCAGAACTGAGATCTGTGAAGTTAATTATTGTGGAGGGACTGAGAGAAAGTCAGGTTCAGCTTTAAAACAAGTTAAACAAAAAGTTCACTACATTTCTTAGTGCTGAGTAAGGATAACTTGCTCCCTCAGGGGTCAGAGGGTAGGGTGCAAACTATGATCTCAATTCTAGCTATTTTAATTGAGTGCTGAGAAGGCAAATGACATCTTTGTGGTAGCTTATCATAGAGTCCAGCTGTCTTCGTTACAATAAGGACTTTTCTGGTGTCTGACGTGTGGTGCCAGATGGATGTCCTGCTTCTTTCAGTGTTGCATAGATAGTGGTGTAAAAAGGAAGTCAAGCAAATTGTTTGGTTTTAAATGATTATGGAACAGCAAGAATTCTAGCTATAGCTTTATTTTCCCACCCTCTATGACTGTAATGTTAGACATGTAACCTCATCTTGCTTAAATGTCAAGGAGTTAAGGCCCAATACTGACATTGGGAAGCTAGAAATATACAGTCAGTTAAAGAGAGCATTTCCTTATGCTATGAATTCAGCCTATGGTACTGTTACTCCGTCCTTTGTTGCCACTGACAGATGGCTATCTGGGTGCTTTAAAAGAATCCTTATAAATTTTCCACCAAGTTAAATTGCAGCAGCTACTTTAAAATATCTGTAATCAACTTTCTCTAGAAAACTGGTGAGAGACCCTGCCTTTTATCTGAAATGCATTATGGCTATTTTAAAATTCATACATTTGCATGTTCATTTACTAGGATATGATACTTGTATAACACATTATATATTATATTTTAATTTCAGTTGTCAGGGTATGGACAAGTTTCATCTTTATAGACAATGTAACAAGACAATTTGAGTCAGAATCAATCATTCCCACATCCAGTGCTATAGGTATGATAAGATTAATTGCATTTGGGAATTAGAATAGAGTTTATTTAGGGTCCATTTGTCTAAGGGTGATCCTACTTTAAAGAACAATGCAAAAAATTATGTGATCCACCACATTAGGTGTGTTTCCACAACAGAAGGAAACTTTGGTTTGAATGAACTGCATGCTGGTGCTGAGATTGCCTCAGCTTGAAGTAGCAGCAGTTGATTTTATTGTGTCATTTGGCAGCAGGGAGCTTCTGCTTGTTGTTTTGTTCCCAGCAAAGCAGAAAAGAACTAGATAAAACTCTGGATTCTTTCTTTGGTTTGTTGGGAAGGAATAAATCAAAAATGTGAAGCCGCTTGCCACTAACAACATTAACCCGTCTGCAGAAAGAAGCTGTTATCTGTTGTATCAGTCATACTACAAGTAGGAATGATTGGGCAGCTGGCTCTCAAATCCTGCTTGTTTGTGACACACTGTATAAACACACTACGAAAAAGATGTTTGCTTTTTTACCCAGAGCGATATCCTACACATTCATCTGGGTGTGGAGCAGTGCTTTTGGTTACTGGCTTACCCAGGGAAGCAATGGTTGAAATGATTTTATTATCAGTGTGGTTTTTTGAACTGAATTAACTAAAAATATACAGGTACTGAAGGGACTATTTATGTAGAAAGATAACTGAAGGATTCTGTTTGTAGGCTTTGGGCTTGTATATATACACAGTAAAATACTAGTTTGAATGAATGGTAGTGGGTAGAATTATACCCTACACACATTGGCCTCTCATTCACATACATGTCAGCTCTAGTGTACATGTCCTTTACTCTCCAACTTGGTATAGGACAAAGAACACATATATTCTGTTTATATATTTCAGATGTTATAGAAATTGTATAGCTCCAGTGGTCTTTAGAAGCAGCGCAATTGGATGTGAGGATAACTAAAATCCCACAGTTTGTTGAAACTTCCCCACCCCCCTCATCTGTATGGGTGAATGCACTTTATAAGAAACTATTTACTAATGGATAACTTCAATGACAAGACTGGATTGGGGAATATAAAAAGGAGCATAGATTTTTAAAAGAACAACCAAACTGCACAAACTCTAGGCCAAAAGATTAATCGGAAAATAGGCTAGCAAATGACTTTCTCAGATTGCGGATGGTTTCAGCTTTTGCCTCATCTTCATTGGGATTTCCTCGTTGTGAAGAATCTGAGAGGCTGAAGGTGTTTGTCAAAGACTGTGATTTGCTGCAAAACAGAGGGGGAAAATTGAGACAAGGACATTTTCCACACAAAGAGGGAAAGAGACAAAAGAGAAAGCACGGGATGCTTTTACCAGGATGTAGCATTCTTTGGAAACACTCTTGAAAGTTCAGTTTTAAAAATAAGTTTTTACAACAGTCCACAAGGCAGGTAAAATAACTTTTAAAAACATCAGTTACTCATTACATTACTTATTATTTCTCAATTTAATAGTAGCATAAAACCTGAATATATCTAAAAAATGCTATAAAATAACTTTCAAGGCAGATAAAAAAAAACCTATCCCGATTTGTCATTGATCCACTCCTTTGGACTTCATACAAATCTATCATTTCACATCTATCTATCTATCTATCTATCTATCTATCTATCTATCTAGATTTGGTAGATGATAAACCATTACTCATTATAGCACATAATGGCAATGCTGTCCTTACATTATATGCTTTGTTTGGAATTTTCAGAGCAAGATAGGCCACTAGGGGAAGGTCTTGCTCTAATGCTAATGTAGCAATGATATAAGCTCATCTATGAGCTTCTGAGTTTTTAGAGTGGTACAGTGGTTGAATGCTGAGCTATATCTCTGGGAGACCAGACTTTAAATCACTAGTTGGGCATGGAAACCCATTAGGTAAATTTGGAGAAGTCATGCTCTCCAGCCTCAGAGGAATGCAAAGGAAAATCCCTAAACAAATTTTGCCAAGAAAAGCTCAGGATATGTTCACCTTAGGGTCACCATAGATTGACTTGAAGGCACACAAGAGTAGCAATAAATTCTTAGTAGCCATTTATTTTCTGTGTTTGCAAAATAACCAAGTACAACAGTGAAAGTGATGAATGATTCTTAGGTCCAAAGGATATACATGACGGGGTGCAGCGGTCGCTATATTCATTGGCGATGGTCTCAATGCCCCCCGCCCGGGCCACCGCCACATAGCAGCTCTGGAAGCCGAGGTCGATGCCCACCATTTTGGGATGTAGACTTTCCTATAGATCAAAATTGTGATTGAAAGATGGGAACTTCCTTTTAGAGCAGAATAATAGATCAAAGGGCAGATTTGGGATTTCCTTCCCTTTAGTTTGTCGTATACGCAGCTCAGCTTCTTGAAATGTAATGTTCTCTAATTGTTGCAAGCTTCCTTCAAGTCAGCTTTGACTTATGGTGACCATATGATCTCTATTCTTCTACATACCCTGTTTGCTTTTGCTTTTGCCTTCAAAAATATTAAAATCTGCCCATGGTTTTGTGGGGATTTCATGATAAATTATGCTCAGCATCTACTATAAAAGGCACCTACTTTAAGTGAGGATGTGGAGGGGCCTGTTGCTTGTTTGATTCTCCAGACCCTTGTGGACCAGGAGCCCGTCCCTGAGCTGGAGGTCGGGGCTGCTGGGGGGGAAAGGTGCCCGGTTTTGAAGGCTGGCTTGGCGAACTACTGGCTGATGATCTGGTTTGTTGGGGAGATCCCGGTGATCTCTGCTGCTGTGGTGAAGTGGACTGGGGGCTTTGTGGTTGTTGACCTTGTGGAGAGAGCCTTTGCTGAGGTGGAGCACCTGTCCGTACAGGTTGTGATCCCTGAGGCTGGCGTGGCCCCCCTAGAGCAAAAAATTACATTTAAATAAAACAAATAGTATTGTCATACAAGTACTGTTTCCCACTTATCTCATTGGCGAAAGAAATCCCTCTTGACCTGTAGCTAATTTCTTTGAGAAATCTGTATTTATAGACTGTACAAAAGATCCAGAGACAAAACAATACTTTTGAGGATACAGCTTTCCAATCCTCTACTCTGGCTATTTTGTATTCCATGAAATAATTTTACCATGGTCTAGTCTGGTACTAAGCAGCAGTCCCCCAATTCTTGCTTCTCTTAAGTCACCCTCACACATGTTAGTAACTATCTTTACCTTCCATTTTAAAATACAATCTCCAGTATATCTATAATACCAGATTTTTTTTATCTTTGTTATTCAAGTAATTTTATTTGATTCTGGCCCAGTGCCAGAATATCTGATCTCAAATCCTGTATTCCTATTTATCCTTTACTGGTGATGGTATAATCTCCTCTCATATTTTTATATTTATTTTTTAATTTCTATCCTGACTTTCTATTGGCATAGGACCCAAGGTGTCTTACAGCATATTAACAGTTAACAGTCAAAGGCTGGTTTAAGTAGAATGTTCTTTGACTTCCGGCAAAAAGAAAGGAAAAGGGCCAACTGGACTTCTTTTGGAAGGGAATGCTACAATCTGGGAACACCCACCAAGATATCTCTCCCGTGTCCTTTTCATGGGTAACTGTAATAGTGATGAAGCTGAGATAAAGCCCTCAGATTTCAACATTTGAGCTGACTTGAAAGTTAGATGTTGTTACCTTGAGGTGGTGGTCGTGGTTGGGAAAGCTGTCCAAGCTGAGGTCCTGGCTGTGATTTCACTGACTGTGGCTAGATGACCAAAACAAAAATGAAACGAGCAAAAAAATCCTTCGGTCAACAGATTATCTGAAACATTACAAATACAGTTGTGCTTCTTGTCTAATGACACCAGAAGGTCTCTGCAAATTTTCAAAAAGGGGCAGTACTTTTATAGTACTGGCAAACTCTGAAGAGGCAGCTTTGTAGAGGAGCTTTTGGTTGGAGGTTATTGAAAAATGCCAACACAATCCTTCATAATTATATTAACAGACACCTGTTAAGTGTCGGGTATATCTATATGTAGGAAAGCCAGACATGGATCAGAAATTCTTAATACAGATGTGGAGAACCTAAGCCCCTTCACTTGTTTTAGATTTTAATTCTCAGAAACCTTTCTCAGCATGACCAATGTTGTGGGATTATGAGAATTGCATTCCAATAGTAAAAAAGTAAAAGAAAAAAGTAATATTTCTGAGACCTGTTTCCAATGTACCACATATTTATGAACAACAGATCCGCTCTCTGGTTCTTGCAGTAGTTGAGGCACACCTCATCTGCATTCTCCAACATGCATTCTCTTAGTAAGGTAAGAGGTGTCTTGATTAGATTTGATAATATGCTAAATATAGAGCCTTTGTGGTAAAAATCTGAACATCAGCTGTATGGTAGTGTCCATTACTAAATCCTATCCTACTGTGGCAACATGAATAAACACAAGCAGTGGTTTTCCATCATTGTTCAGTGCATTGTAGAATTTATGTCTCAAGGTTCACATGGATGCCGATCCAGGCAGTCTTAAGTACTGTATATTTAAAGCCCAACTAAAAAATTAAGCAAGTGTTTAGTTCTGCTTGGTTGAATTAATGGAACTGAGAAGTGTTCCAGTCAGCAGGCTCATTCTTACACAAGAACAAAGATATATCTTGACTAGCAACCCATTTTTCACAGCAGCAAATTGGAAGCCTAAAGCCCACGGACTCTCCTACTGTTGTTCTCCAGCACCTGGTATTCGCAGGTATGGTGTCTGATCACAGAAGCAGTTTACAACACTATGACTTACAGCCATGTATTTATTTTCTAGAAGGAAACTGCATCTGTAGAGTTTAGGGAAAGAATGTTAGTAGAAGAATCAAAGCCTTGTACTGAGTAGCTTTTTCAAACAGCAGTGGAATCCTACTTCTCTATCTGCAATTTAGAGATAGGAGTCTGGTTATCAGAAAAGATGGTTTGTTTCATAACAACACTCATCACCTATCTGGGAGGGATGGAAATTTAATCAAAACGAGCATGTAATTACTACCTTAAAAAGATAGCACATAAATCTTGAGATCCATGTGTAATCTCTCACTTGGGTTCTGTAGTATCTTTTTTTTTGAAGGATAGTTTCCATGGGAACAATTCTGTTGGTAATTTGGGTCATGATATAGAGTGTGCTGACACCTATGTTCATTTGCTTTCTCAACCATGTGCATAACATGATTGTTTTGAGCTCTTTTCAGTGCTTTTCCTGGCATAGTATGTTAGGAGAGATTACTTCCTTATAGTGGTTTGCGGCAGCATACAGGAAAAATGACATATACAAATTCATCCTCACTTTCCGTTATTAAATATATTATTGGACAGACCTATATGTACCCTTAATATGGCAGGGTGGATGAAAGCAGCTCTGGGAAAGGCATTTGTGGAGAAAAATAGTACAAGAAGGAAAAAATGACAATCCACCTTCCCTTTCAAATGAACTGTAGAACTACATGCAATTTCTAGCTCTAACCACAGTGACTCCAGTTTTATTTATGGAATATTATAGAAATGAAAATAATTTTAGCACCACAGTCTCTTATCTCTTAGAGAGCAGCTTTATGTTTTCTGGTGGCACTGGAAAAACTTATCCTATTTATGCATTTATAGCCTTTGGCAGGACTGTGACAGTACGTTGTCTTCTCTGGCAAATAACTCCTGTTCTTACCCAAGGTCTCAGAGGTGAAGGGGAGGATCCCACAGCTAGGAAAACTTGCGTCATTCGGGAGACAACCAGATCTGCTATTAGCTGTCTATCTTCCTCTATATGCTCCCCGATTAGAGGCATTGAGCTGTCCATCACCTGTAGAAATGAAATGAGTCAAAAACCAATACAGTGGCAGGACATGAATGTTGCAAATATATACTGATGCTCATGCACATCATGCATAATGTCATGGGCACTTGTGCAGCCCTTACTAGTCAGACAATACTACTCAGGAATTTTTATAAGAGTGTTCAATATCTTTATCAAAATGGTGTGTGTTTTTGTGTGTTAAAGGAACTTAACTAGATATCTTCAGTGGTGACTTTCAGTAAATAATGCAATTGGTGCAACATTTCGATGGAGTTTTGTGTCATTTAGTTCCATTGCTTGTTGCTGCTTGCTATCATTTTAGTTTGCCTTCAAGTCATTTCTCACTTATGGTGACACTAATACGAACCTATCACAAGATCTTCTTGGTGAAATTTGGCCAGAGTGGAATTGCCATCTCTACCTTTTGCTACCTTATAAAATAGATAAAACCTTTATAAACATTCTTCTTAATATGGAATGATTGCACAATAGTTCCTTTCTCAACCCTTGTGTCATTCATTCATGGGCCTTTCTCCGTGATTTATTATTTTTAAAAAGAGATTATTCATCCATATAATTAAACCAGTGTAGGGAACCTCCTGGAGAACTAATTTGGTCGTGTGGAGTTCCCCAGATAGGCACATTTGATAGTATTTTAACCTCTAATCTTTCCCCAATTTCAAAGGGTTAAAATGGCCCTTTGAAAGCTTAATGATCGGAAGCAAGAGCTTGAAGTTAAAACATGATTTTACCCTGCCCACTACTGGAATGTACAAGATTTTCTCTGAAGTTGAATTTGATCTTTTAACTGTAAGAGGGTTGTTTTTTTAAATATGAGAAACAGCGTAGTTTTTTTCCCCCCTGAGGCTCATGCACATCCTTCCTCCTATTTCTTGTTTTATGAGGAACTTGGAATCGGCTGCTTCTTCTGATCACATGTAGGCATCATGCTACTCGAACCTTGAAAACTCTGCTTAGTGTGGATTTTTTGTGTGTTTCTATACTATATTTTCTTGGTTCACTTTACTTAATTTTAATATAAGTTACAACTTTAAAAATAAATATTGCAAGATTAATTCAGACCCACTTGGGAGGCTGGGCTATTCTAAATGTCTAGATGCCCTAAGTTTCACTCCTGGTTCAGATGCAACCAGGAGTGAAACTCATGGACACCTTTCTCAGGTTATTTTCATACACTGAAAAGTCATTTGCTTGATAATTACCAACCACAAGCAGCTAAATATCTCAGCAGTATTTTAGAAATGGCTTGCAGTGCACCTGTTCTAGCAGCTTACTCTCTCATCCTCAACTCAGTTAAAATTCTGCAAACATGGGGTGCATATCTGAGAATTTGTAAAGAATGTCTCAATGTATGTAAATCTGGCACAGATGAGGCACTATTTAAGAACAAGAAGCAGTATGAAGTCTTGCCTCTACTGTATCAGACTGGTTATTTCTCAGCAAAGGCATTTTGCAAATTTGTAAACACCTTGCCTTCCTACTGTTTGTCTTCATCTATCTCTCTAAGGTGAAATGATGGCCCTGAACCTAGGCAGTGAGTCATTGCACACAAACAGCGTTATGACACCATCTTCAGTAATGCCAATCTTTATTTTATGACAGCATCGAGAAAAAATACCTTGTCTGCTTGCTCACCCACAGCTCTTAAGTAGAGTCTTATCTTCATCAATGACTAATGATGTGTCTGTGGTCTAACCATGTTCGTTTGTACATTTATTGTTATTTAACATACACACAGAACTCATTGTGGCAAAAAGAACCACAATGTGAACAAAGCTTGCACATATACATTCTTATAGAAAAGTGGGTGGAAAGAAAAATATATTCAACGTGGTTGGAGGGAAGATGCTGATTCAGAAATAATGGATACTTAAATTGCAAAATAGAGCCACAATCTGAACCCCAATTTTGCAATTTAAATGTCCATAATTTCTGAATCAGCATCTTCCCTCCAACCACTTTGGAGGGAAGGCATTGTCACACCTGTCTGATTTCAGTGGGACATGTTTTAAGCAAGCCCTTAACCTTTTCATTGGGATTAATACGTATTTATAAACATTGGGAAATGGTGGAAGCATTCCAGCTCATTACAAGTTGATGCTGTGTCTATAAGTCAGTGGTTCTCAACCTGGGATCCCCAGATGTTTTTGGCCTTCAACTCCCAGAAATCCTAACAGCTGGTAAACCAGCTGGGATTTCTGGGAGTTGTAGGCCAAAACACCTGGGGACCCACAGGTTGAGAACTACTGCATAAGTGATCTGATCAATTGGTAGAGCATAAGGGATAAGATTTACCTTTCATTCCAGCAATTCAATATTGCTGCAATCTTTGCAGCTGGATTGAAAAAAAAATCATCCTATATACTGTAAGTAGAGTGGGTAATGTCATGATGTACAGACATTGGGGAAACTATGAGTCCCAGTGAATTAAGCATCTTCAGTTGAATGCAATTTTCTTTGATAAGCCCTCTGCTTCAGTGCAGACAGTTTAATCTCATCTCAGTTTTCATGTGTGACATGGTTTCCTCTTAATGTTAATTCCAGCCACTAGATGGTGCCATTGCACTCCCAAAATGCTCATTACTCAGTAGACTAGCATAACTCTGATAACATTGTTTTCAACCCTCTCCCTTCTCTTCTGTACTATGGTAAAAGTGAAGTTATTTTCCAACAGTCAATCTTTGTAGAGGCAAAAAGACACCATCCAACCAAAATGGGGGTATCAACAGTTAATGGAGAAGTAAAGGAAGCCATAAAGAAAACAATGTTTGGGTGGCAACCAAACACCCCAATGAGCACTGAAAATGCTCAGTTGCACTGAATGCTTACTGCTTCCTCACATGTAAGCCTGCCTGAAATTTAAGACCAGCAACAGAAACCCTGTTGCATATCCTACGAGTGTGGCTATGCCGGTGGCCAGGGCCGTAGCCAGAAATATTTTTCGGGAGGTTGAAATTTGGGGGGGGGGGTTGAAAGGGGGGGGGGGGGGGGGGGGGGGGGTTGAAACCTGCCTCCTAGCTCACGCTGAAGCAAAGAGCACAGCAGGGGGCAGAGCAGCCTTCAATAGCCTGCAGCTCCGCCCTTGTCAACCACCTCCACCAAGTCTGGCCTCCTTAATGAGAGCATTCAACATCCCCCACCCCAACTTGGTTGCTTCACTACTGTTCTGTCGCGCTGGGCCTGTAAATAATTGTCTTTAGAACAGGATGTGCAACCTTTGCCCAGCGGGAAGCCAGGGGGCCTAAAGAGAAGTTCTCAGAGGTTTCCACCACAAACAGTCTTTAGATGGCTTGAGAAGTACAACAAAGTCTTTTATTAATGAACAATCAAACAGAAACTTCTCTTGTCTTCAGTAAAGTTAAGCAAATGATTCCAAGCTTTTAGGCAACTGGTGAATTCCTAATCTTGCCCACGAAGGGCAGGCAACTGTCTTCAATAACTTCTTCTTTAAAGGAAAATCCCCTTTTTAACTTCTCCCAGGCTGACTAATCTAACCCTCACTGATACCGGGTCGAACTGCATCTCGAACACTGAGTGGACCTACCAGCAAGGCAGTAGATGTTCTCCAGCTGGAGTTCTTTGGTCTTTAGGGCTGTTTTCCTGGAAATTCTTTGGAGACTCTTAAGACCTTTCTCCCCTGGAAGGTCTTAAGGGTTGAAGCTTTTGTACAGGGGAAGCTTGCACACATCCTATACATAAGCTTACCTTGCTGAGACTAACTAAAAATGGCTCCCTTCCCTTCCCAATTGCCCTGAGCAAGGGGCGGGACCAAAACTTAACGATGATGGACAGGTGACTTGCCCTATGACTGCAACCAAAGAAGCCACCTATCTGCAGAGTCCCTGAAACCTAGGACTGCAAGCAAACATTTAATACAAAGCAAATAAAGTTGGAGCTCCTGGTACAGCTGTACCAGAACAACTACATCGGCTATTGCTGCAAGTAAGGACAGTGTGAATAAATGGCTAATATTTGCTTGAGATAGTGCTTGCAGTTCTGGAGGGACTCTTGATTTTTTGCATCTCATAGACTTAGCATGGGGATTTGGTTAACCAATTAAAATTCATGAGTAAAACAGGTTTTTTTAAAAAAAATCTGAAACATTTCGGGGGGGGGTTGAACCCCTAACCCCCCCCCCCCCCTCGCTACGGGCCTGCCGGTGGCTACATGTCAGGATTTCCTCTGCAGCAGTACCCTAAATATGGAACTCCTTCCCTAGGGAGACTGGGATGGCTCCATCCTTTTTCAGCTTCTAATGGACAGTAAATATTTTTTTTTACATGGACGAATGTACCAACGCAGGAGGGGAACAATAGCAGCAAGGAACTAGTGGGGACAACAATCCACACTGAGCTTTGCTCAGTCATATCCTAGTGGATAAACTGCCACCTTGATATCATCAGCAAGGATATCACTCTTTTTTTCTAATGCATGTCTGAAAACGGATAGCTCCAACTGGCAAGCTAGGATGCTTTTGCACATTTCAAACAATCCCACCATATTCGTGGTGATGAAATGTTTGTTCAGAACTTTAATCATACTAATAACTAAGGGAAGCTATATGAAACCGGTAAGGATGGAGACGACACTGTATAGAAGAAGTGCAGAATTAAAACCTAGCAGGATTATTTTGCATCCAACTGGTATTAAATACAATCTGACCTTTAAAAGCTGATATAAGTGCATGGAATTAAATAATAAATACAAAGTCAATTCGGAGAAAACAGAAACATCCTTCTCCATCCCTGAGAATAAACCTTCCATGTAACAGTTAAGAAAAAACAAACCCAGAGACTGATGTCCCATGCAGATCTGACCTTCGACAGTGTGCAAGGTCAGTGGCTATCTTAAGCTCCAACTGCTTTGTCCTGATAAGATATCTCAGAGGGAATGAGAAGGGCAATGAAAAGAATTTGGATGGAAAACTCCATTCCTTTTTTTCAGTTATATCATCTGTTTCTGTACCTAAATGAGATGTGGCTGTT